TTGGCCGACTGTGGACGCGCGCGCCTCGGGACCACTTCCTGCGAGTCGCGGCCGTGGCGCTGTTGCAGCCCGTGGAAGAGGAGCTGGAAGCGAGCCATCCAGGGATATCCGGAGAGGAGAGTCAGCTGCTGGTCGGATGGCTTCTGGAGCAATCGGAGGTCCTGGCCGCCTTTTGCCGTTGCCTCCCAGCCGGACTGTTGACTTCGGTGGCGCGTCGCCATCCTGCGCTCTGTCGGGCCTACCTGGGCCTCCTGACAGACTGGGGGGAGAAGCTGCACTACGACCTTCGGAAAGGCACCTGGGTTGGAGCCCAGTCCCAAGATGTCCCCTGGGAGGAGTTGCTTTGCAAGTTTCAAAGCCTCTGGCACGCCCCGCCCCCTCTGAAGGACCAAGTTCTGAAGGCCTTGGAGTCCAGCAAGGCGCGGGGAGGAGACTTTGAAGCCCGGGGTCTTAACTTCTGGACTGACCTGTTGTTAGCTCTGCGGAGTGGTAAATGATAATTGCTTTTTGGAGGAGACAAGTTTGAGGTCCCAGCTCGAGCTCCAGTTCTCCTTGAACAATGTTCTGTTCTTAACTGCTTACAAAACGAAAATCGCTGTGTTCTCACCAAATCACCTGTAGCTCATAAGTCCAACATGTAATTATTTATGGTGCTAAATTGAAATATTTTATACAATTATAAATTTGCAATTTTTATTTAAAATTTCTTTTTTTTTGTTTTTTTTGTTTTTTTTTTTAGTTTTGTTGTGGTTGAGAGCAGATTCTCACTACGTATTCCAGGTTGACCTCAAATTTGTGTCACTCTTCCTGCCTCAGCCACCTGAATGCTGAGATTACAGGTGTGCATCACCATGCGCTGCTAAATGTCCAAATTAGTTGGCCCGAAGAGCCAGGGATTTTTCTAGAGGAAGTGACATATTGGAAGAATTCTTAAAGCCGTGGCATTGGCAGTAATTTGTTATTAGAAACTTTTCAAACAATGCTGAAAATAATATGTACTTTTTAAAGAACAGCAGCTTTAAAATAGCAAACGTTCCTTTTTAATCAGTATCGTTTACTCTTTTAGTTTTTATTTTTGTTTATTGTCCCCTCTTGGTAGTACCCAGTTTTCCTTAGCAACATGCAGTGTCATAAATATCAGTTTGGGACGCCAACTAGACTATTTGGAATTTAAGTATGGACTTTGGCCTTACTAACCTAATGGTCTAACAAATTAACCAGCCTCAATATGAATTAAAATTGCATTACTGAAAAATTGTTTCCCATTTCTGCAAATTACTACTCTAAAAGACCATATTGTATGCCAGTTTAAACCATTGACTTCAATGCACGTAATGTTTAAAATTTAGTAAAAGCAAACATGTATGTGCCTTTGGATATTCATTTGGATTTGCTGACAGAAGAGTCAAAATAAAGTTTTGAATTACCAAGGTACCCCTCTGCCATTAACTAGGTTAAGAAGTCCCGACCTTGTGCTAGTCGTGTCATGTTAAATGAAGTGTGTAGACTAAAATAGTTAAATTTCCTTGTTTTTCTGTTGATGGCTACCTTACAGAGACAGGAATACTAGCTCTAAATTTACTTGAGCACTTCTCCATGGTCACTGATTCCTAACCAAACTGAAGAAGTCACTTAGCCTTTGTTATTAGGGTTATATGACTTCCAGCAATCAAGCTATCTTTGTCCATGTTGAGAGTAACTGATTGATTGCAAGAAATTTTGGAAAATACTGATATTTAACAAGTTAATTTTTAATTCCAGAAATGGAATTAGAATAAAAACGCTGTATAATCTTGCACAATTTTCCATTCTGTGGTTGAATCTGGGAGTAAAGTATGTTTCCACAAGGAAGTACACTTTGTAAAATAGTCTTGTGTGACCAATGGCAGACTCGTATTCCCTATGATCTGATTCCCTTTTTTCTGTTTCTGGTTGATGAAAACCATGTTGAGATTGCATTTGCCATAAGGCAAATTCTAATTTTACCAAGGCAAGTTCTAATGTTAGCTTCAGTGCACTTACTTCCTTATAGCTCCAGCTTCATCTCATGGTATAACTTGAGATCAAATGATAAAGCCTGGTGAACTTAATAACAGTTTAAAACTCATTTCTTTATACTTAACCATGTAGCAGTCTCTTATTTTTGGTTCCATGACATATTCGTTATAGTCTAATTGAAAAATCTCATTTAATTGGTGAATATAAACTAAAAGAGATTAAGAGATAAGGGGCTAGGGATTTAGCTCAGAGGTTCTGCCACCTGCCTCGCAAGCACTAGGACCTGAGTTCAATCCCCGGTACCAAAAAATAAAAGACATTAAGAGAAACGCGCAAGGGCATACACAAAAGCCACCCAAGAGTGGAAGTCCTGTGATGTCCTAATTTTGTTTCGAACGACTTTAGCATAATGTGGCATGTAGCATACATTTCTAATATTTCAGTAAGTGAAGCCAGCATTAAAACTTTTATATATTTTATTTTAACGATAATAAGGACTTGAGAAGATGCATTGAATATAATAACCTTGTTATCCCTCTAGGAACCTATGAAGAGGACGAGAGGAAAAACTCCTTTGAATGGGTCGCAGTGTCAGTGTACTGCCAGTGAGCTACCGGAACCTGGACGGCAGCTATAGATTCAGTGATGTGCGGGATGTCAGTGGCTGCACTTTACACTCTTCTCTTATCCACATTGCCAATTTGTGGTGTTTTGATCACATCCACATTACCTGTAAGCCCAAGCAGTGTAGCAAGAGCTTTGGCAATTCCGATCTGATCTTTAAACCATTCGCTGAGTTTTAAAGTTCAAAAATTTTCCCCAATTTTTCTTATCTTTCTCTCTCTCAAATCTGCCCAGCCATTTTTGATAATCTTATGTTGCTTGCGTTGTGTTGTGATTCCTTTTTTGTTTTATAATACTGTTAATTGCGTAGTCTATATTAATCATTGCACAGCCAGAAGTCCTTTGGGCCCACAATCTGCTATTTTGATTCTCTTGAGGATTTGTTTCTTCACATGTTTTGTTTTTTATTTGTGAACCCATATATGTATTTGTTCTAATTTTATGGAAACCTGAGCATCTAAAAGTAGTATTCATTCTCCCATAAGGGCATTTTCAGTTGTGTCTGGTGGAAATAGATAATTCCCTGATCTATGCTTTGGCAGGCTTCCTGGGTTGTTGTAACATCTTAGGGCTTTGGTGTTCTTACCTTGTGATTAGCTTGGGAATTGTCTTCATTTCCTGAAGTGTAAACAAAGTATGAAAGGTAAGTTTGATTGAGAATCTATTTGTTTTGTAGCAGTTGGGCCTTTGGAATAGCTAGCTGCTGCTTGAGCAGAGTAGAAATCCTCATTTTCTTTTTAACCCACAGCAGTTTAATGTTTGCTTCAACACGCCTCTGAAGGAAGTCTTGTCACACTCAGCAGTTGTCTCACAATGCCAAGTTCAAAGGACACTTTTCCTGGTATCCATTTATTTGCCCCCACAGAACGTATGTTTCTAACAAGCCCACCTTTTTTAAATGGACTTAAAATGGTATAATCATAACTTTTATTGCACTTCTCCATAATATGGTCCTTTTTCCTTGCTAGCTACATTTTAAGTCCTAAATCTGAAATGTTTGGTTCCAACCAACATCATCTATTGGATTCCTGCAATAGTGTTTTGGTTTTTCATAGACTTTATGTTGGACAGAGTGGCACATGCCTGTAATTCCAGAACTCTGAGAGGCTGAGGCAGGAGGAGTGTAACTTGGAGCCCAGCCTGGGGCAGTTTAGCAGATCAGTGGTGGACTGTCTCAAACACACACATACACACACACACACACACACACACACACACACACACACGGGGAAGAGTGCTAGGAATGTAGCGTGGTACAACGGTCCTGAATTTAATTTCCAATACAACAGAAAAGCAAAACACAAACACAAAACACACATACAGCACAACTATTTAAAAGACTGCTTTAGATTCACAACAAAATGGAGCAAATGGTACTGAGAATTCCCCAGGACCGTACCCATCTCAGTAGCTTCCTATACCACTATGAACAAAGGCCATTTTCTTGTTTTGCCTTCTATGAGGAAGGGTATATTCTATCCTAACATATCCATACCGACCATGCTTTGCAGAAACACAGGAATTCTTTTGGTTCTTGAAACAGGCACAGGTTTTTGTTCGTTTCCTGCCTTAGAACCCTTCCTGTGTCATTCCTCCATCCCATAATATTCTGGGATCTTTCACTTCTCAGCTTAACTTTGTCCTCTCACCATAAAACCCTTCTCTGAATATATTTCATCATTCTTTCCTGCGGACACCCAATTTTGCTGAGCTGTGGCTTTGTTAGGCACGTGTGCCTATCATTTGCATGGCGTCCCGAGCTCAGTGAGGACCCCACCGCCTCCGTCCTCCCCATCCAACAGCGGAGACCCTCACACTGTGGCCGGTACACGTGAAGTACCTGATAATCCTCTGCACAAGCTGAAACGGAGTACACATTGGATTAGCTCGTCATCCTCTGTGTCACATAAGAAACGTCAACTATTTTAGCAGAAGTGATGAGGAGTATAAATCCCAATTAAAAATAAGATCCCAGTAGATGATGACATTTCCAAACTACAAGCCAACCAACAGAAAACGCTTTCAAAGCTGTTTCTTTGCGTTTGAATCAGTCCAACATTTGTCTATGTCCAAATGTAGACGCTGGTAAATTTCCTACAGTTACTTAATCTTTTTTGTTCTTTTTATATGTAAGCGCTCTGAAACTGTCTCCTTATGCTCAATGGTAGAAACTAGTTATAAATAAAATGGCCCACCTTCCCTAGCCAATTGTGGTCATAGGGTATTCATTATTCATATAAACCAATCAATGTAAACGCTCTAGGAAGAAACCATCGATTTCTTCAGGAATTAATTGGAAACGATCAATCACTATATCAGAAGTGGGGCACACATCATTTATCAGATGCTGATTGTCATGGTGGGCTACCAATGCCCTTTTGGCTTAGAAAAATGGTGGCCCTAAGGGAAAGTAGCTTCAATCATTACAATAATGAATGTGTCTTTGCAGTCTGTAGGAGCTTCATTATTCTTAATATTGAGGTCAGGGTTTGAGTTAAGAAGAGTTCAGTGTTTAAAGTCCCACTGTGGGTTCGTCTTTTATCTCATGAATGATCAGGACTGTAGACATTTTCTGCATTAAATGAATCACAAGTATAAACACAGGGATACAATGTGAAAAATTAGCTTCTGTTTCCACATTTAATACACACAGCACAGTAAGCTCTGCATGATGTCCATGTTAATCTTTAAAACTGGGCAATTCATCTGAAATTTATATTTGTGTTCCACATAAGAATAATTTCTTCTGTGGACAAGTTTATATGCTTATCATGATAAAACCTTTTTTTGCAATCTTTTAGTATTTTTTTATATTTCTATTGCAGAGTTTTATTCATTCATAAGCATTTGATCACCTACAAATATCAGTGTGATTTGCTGTGGTAAAACTGGATTGTGATCCTCCCTTCCTTGGTCTCCAGAGTAGCTGAGATTCCAGATATGTGCCAGATTCTGGGATTGGAGTTCATATTTTAATGTTAGGAGCCAAATTTCTCATTTTTTTGGTTGAGAAAGCACATATAGAAAGTCATAGGTAAACAACAGATAGATATATGCAGATTAATATTGGATTTTTTTATCCTGCACAATTGTTCAGAGCTCTAAGGGAAAGCTGTTAAAATATTCATTATGCCAAGAGTTTGACATAGTATCAATACTTTTTTGTAAGATATTCCGTGTGAGGCTGTGCATATTTTATGAGTATTGACAATATGCTCAGAGGGAAGAGGAACTCGGTGTGTTGTTCGCTTTCAAAGAATGTAGATGCATCCCTGAAAAAGAACAGCAAAAGTTATTTGCCAATTACAGGCACATTAGGTACTTTAAAAATGTCAACTAGATTTTAATCCATGATCGAGTTTCAAATATATCACTAATATGTTAAATGTTAAAATGCAGAATGGGAAAATCAATAGGGATCATGAATTTTATAATTTATATTTATACAAATATAAATTTAATATAAAATGTATATATATTTATATAATATAATTAATATTTATTTTATAATCTCTTCTAGGCATTAAGTAATCTTATAAAGTTTGTAAAAAATAAGTCCTGACAGAAAGAGAGCAAGTTTTCTAGCTTGTGTTTAAAATATAAAATAATGTTCATTTTGTTGATAATTTAAAAATATTCAGTAGTTTACCGAAATGAACACCCCATAGTGGAGTGGACATTCTCTGGTCTGTTTTTCCAGATAATTACAAAAACATGGATCCCCAACACTCCGCATTTGAAATTGTTGTTGAAAACATGAAATAAATTGCGAGTGACTAACAAGAGCAATTTACAGAAGATACACGATATAGTTCACTAGTCCGCAGATGTGGACCACATGTGGAATCTCTATGGCAACCGAGACGCATCACAGGCAGGCGCTGTTTTCTAATTATAGCCAGGAAGCCTGGAACTTTGAGCAGTGCACCAGCAAATTGGCCCCCGTAGATTCAAAATGATCTCATTGTTTGTCTTCCCGGAGGCAGGATATTTGAAGAATGCGATTTCTGCAAGCCGTGAAAGGTATCTATTACATCCCCATTTCTTGTCTAGCGGTGGGAGGGGAGCTTTGCAATTATTATTAGAATATTAAAATTCAAAGACATTTAGTGTTCCATTCCAGGGTAAAGGAAGATTAAAAAAAAACAATATTTTCATGGTGTGGGAACTAACAGGTAACTAAGGAGCTGGAGTGAAATAAGTTAAACAAACTCGTTAAATGGGTTTTAAGACTAATTTTTGTCTTATGCCACTATCTCTAAACAAGTTTAGAGAAATTACTATTTTAAGCTTCCGATTTCTCTTTATATAATTTGAGTGAGAATAATAGCTAATCTTGCCTTAATAAAACAAGAGCTTGAGTATTCAGGAGCTGTAGCATCTTTAGAGTGTCTCTTGATGACACAGTGACTTCACTGACCTTCTGAGAAGGTATTGGTTTTTGAATGATATTCTAAACATAAAATTTGAGACTGACATTTCTTTTCTTTCAGCCTTTGAAAATGTGCTGTTTACTCCTAACATCCAGAGTTTCTGGTGACACCTGTCATTTGAGTTGATTTTTCATCTATACGTAAAATATTGCTTCTGTCTTACCACCTTGTTTTTTCTGCCTATACTTTTCAAAAAATTTATATTCATGTATCTCTTTGGAATTTCCATGCATTTATTGTGTTTAAAATCTCCTCAGTTTTTTTGTTGTTTTGTTTTTTGAGACAGGGTCTCACTATGTAGCCCAGGCTGGCCTCAAACTCACAGAGATCCTCCTGCATCAGCCTCTTGAGTACTGGAGTTACAAGTGTGTGCCACAATGCATGGCTTCTAAGTGTTTCTTTGTTTTGTTTTGTTTTTGGTACTGAGGATCGAACTCAGGCCCCCATTGAGCTTGCAAGGTAGGTGGCAAAACCACTGAGCTAAATCCCCGGCCCTCTAAGTTTTTATTAAATCTGTTTGCGTACATATTTTGCTAGTTTTAGAAAAAGTGCCAGTCATTATTTCCTGGAGTAATTTTCAGCTCTCCTTTTTAGACTCCAGTGAGGGTAGATTTTTCTGTTTGAACCTCACACATTCTTGAGTTTCTGTTCATCCACCTGACCCCACACCTGTGTTCTCCCTTTTATCCCACCTAGGTAATTTCTCTTATTTGCTCTTGAGTTCAGAGATTCTTTTCCCTTTCCTTTTTATTTGGAGGTTAAGCCCTTCACTGAGCTTTATTTCAGTCATTTTAGTTTTCCATTTTAAATTTTTCATATTGTCCTTGATGTCTTTGCTCTCTATGCAGAGACTTTACCTTTTTCCATTTGAGAGCGTTTGCAATCGGAATCATTTTTAGTATTCCTGCTTTAAAAACTTTTGTCAGATAGTACCAGCATTAGCGTTGTTCAGGGTTAAAGTGTGTTGATTGTTGCTTTTCATTCCAAAAGAAAATATATATGTACTTATCTATTCATTTATTTCATTTACTTATTTTTGTTTGCGGTACCGGGGATCGAATTTAGGACTGTGTGTTTGTGAGGCAGGTTTGGTACCACTGAGCTAATGCCCTGCCAGAAAATATTTATTTTGATGAGATAAATTAATTTCTAATACAAGATGAGAAAAAATATAGTCCCTCGAATATTGGAGATACTTGCATTGTTAAAATTACCAACTCTCTACATGGAGTCCATTGGCCCTTTGAAGCCCTAAGGACGAGCTGAGTTAGTGAAAAACTCCTAAAATTATTTGTAAAGTTAAGTGTTCATTCATTCCTCTTTTTAAGGAGAGCATGTCAACTGTCCTCAGATTCCAGATGGGCAAAGGATGTAAAAAATGTACTGACTCATACAGCTCTATGCAGTACCTGGATATTTAATAAAAGTTATTGTACCAAAATCAACTTGATCCCAGATGCACTTAGCGTTTACTGTTATGTAATACTCTTTCCTTTTTGCATATTAATACATTCAGCTATTATAACTGTCTGTGATGAATGCTGTTACATTTCCATCTTTCAAATAAAAGCTTCTATAAAAGTTATGAAGCCTTTCTTTTTTGAGTAAATACCCAGTAGACACTATAAAATTTGGGCTGGGGATTTAGCTCAGTGTTTCCACTGCCTGCTTCGCAAGCGCAAGGACCTGAGTTCGATCCCTGGTACTTAAAACCCACCCCCCAAAAAAACACAGAGACACTTTAAAATTTCAGACTACATATTTATATGTTTAGAAATATAATTTTATTTTTCCTCCTGAGTTTAACTCTCAAATCCTGACTATTGTTGCTGGCCAAAAACTTAATTTTAATTATCAGTTGTATCAGACGCTTTCCTATCACTGGGGCCAAGTACCCAACACCTCCAACCTTAAAGGGAAGGAGGTTTATTTGGGTCGCAGGTTTTTGTGGGTTCAGTCCATGGTCAGCTGACTCCAAGGCCGACACAGCGCTGTGTAAGGACCTACTTAGCAGAGGAGCTCTGTTCAACCCATGGCAGCCGGGTAGCACAGAGACCAGGAAGGAGCCAGGGACGAGAACATAGCCTTCCCTGTCACACTCCCAGTGCCCCTCCTACAAGCAGCCTTCACTTCCTAACAGCACATTGAGCTCTGAACTTAGGATTCACTCCTGAGCGTAGCATCCCATGGTCCGGGAACCTTTCAAACACAGAATACTTTTTCAGGGACCTTTTAGGACTACACTGTAACACCATTTAAGATGAAATTTCTTGTAGTTTAAATCTCAGGCTTTTCTGAATGAGAGCCACCATTTGGCCTTCGCATTTTGTAAGTGTTCTTTGCTCGGGGGACTTTCTATGACATCCCGGAATTCCTCAGAGGAGGACCTCTGACTGTGGCCATTCCTATAGTGGTGTGGTGCATTCTGTCATCATGGTGGCGAGCTGGATGGTCACTCCTTGGAGATGCCCTCCACACCTCAGCAGCCACCTGTTGTGCCAATACCAGAAGTAGCCAGGTCCTGTGTCCTGGTTGCAATTAATCCATCCCCCAGCTGACACACCTGCTTCCAGGCAATTCCTTGGGCGTCAAACTCAAAAAACTCCACAACTTGCCAGTGCCTCATGGAAGCTAAATGAATCTCAAGGGGAGAGAGGTGTGGCGTCTGCAGTCCTTCATGTGCTTAGAACTGCCAGCTTGGGCTGCCCTTCGCCTCTGCCACCTCGCAGCGCTAGGTGGGGAGTGCAGCAAATGCTCCCCGCTCCCTCTGACTTTAGACAGCCCAGCTTCTAGAGGGCTTCCTTTGACCTACTTAGGACTGGCTCCACAGTGAATGGTGGATAACACAATGCTATGTCCTGAGTCCCCTAGATGTGTCCTGTAAGTATGTAGGACGGGGTTTTCAGAATTCAAAAACAGCCGCTATAAAAGTTTTGCAAATGTATTTAGGATCCTTTTGAATATCATTACTCTAAGTTGTACCTTCTTTTTGCCTAAAGAGATACATACATCCTGCTGGTGGAGGCCAAAAATGAAGCCGGACTCCTAAGATATTACAGTGTCATAGTAGGATATAGATTTTTCCAAGGTCAACAAAGACTAAGGTATTTTGAGTTTATCATTCAAGAAAAGTGGAAAATCGACTATAGATTTAATGTTAAGACTGAAGGGGAAGGGAAAAGCACGGAAAACCACGGTTATTTTTGAGAGTGACAAATAAAATGAGCAAACTTGACAACATCCTTGGCCTCATATGGGTGCTAATCACTATTTGATTCCTTAAGTCATTGGCAGTGCTTCTAATGGAAGCAACAGGTTTTAGTTAAGTGGACAAAACATTGGGATAATGGGGAGGGAATCTTGGGACCTAGAGAAAGACATTAACATTTACCAAGATTCCAACACTTGCCACGTATTTTGTTAGGCTTTTTACTTACATTATTTTACTTAGTTGACACAATAAATGTATAAAATAAATGTAGCATGGTCTCCACACTATAAATGAGAAGCAGAGCTCATGGGAGTCAAATCCTTTGTCTAAGATCAAGTAGTAAATGAAAGAAAGAGGGCTAAACCTCCGTTGCTTCTAAGACTTTGGCTTTTCCTCCATTGCAGTGAATCCCACAGGTAAGTTGTTATTGAGCTTTAGTTCATGGGAAAGCCCTGAGAGAGTCCTTGGATGCAGAGGTTGCTTATGTTATTCTTAGTTGTAGATCCTGAAAAGACTACTCCATCAAAGCAAATACAGAGTCCATAAAGATTCACCAGCATTTAGCAAGAGAAAATGGAAACTGAAAATCTATCACCACCCCAAGGTGGGGGCGGGGAAGCATAGAGTTTGGTACTCAGTAAACCTGTACCAATTCTGAAGAAAATATACCTCAAAGAAAGGAGAAAATTTTCCAATAGTTCTTCATGCTGTAAGAAATAACGTAGGTTAATAAAGTGAAGGAAAAGTGAACTCAATAACAGTATAGAA